CTCCTTGTAAAAAAAATAAATTAAAAAAAATAGAAGGGAGGGAAGGAAGTCTATTTAACCCCATTAAGTGTCCTCATTACAAAAATATTTAGTGGTCTATGATATGCCAGACACTGTTTGAATCACTAGACATTAAACACATTATAAAGCTAGAGTAAGAAAAGCAGCATGGTATCAGCACAAGAAGCCAGAAATCACTGAACAGCAGTTCAGAAAATGTCTTTAGAATACGCAAGAATTAGGACCTTGGATAAATAGAGTATTTGTTATCAGTAGGGAAAAACAGAATCCAACAAATGATGATGGGATCAATGGCTGATAATTTTGAATGTGGGGAAGTGCCTTACTTCCTTCCTCACACTAAAATATACATGAGGTAGGTTAAAGACTTTTGGATGAAGCCTAAGATCATTAAAAGTACTAGAAGAAAACAGGTGGATATATATATATTTACAGTTCATGTGGCAAAAAGTGTAAGAGGACACCAAAGTTAGCTCCATGAAGTTAAGACAGAATGTTGATCACAGGAAAATTATGATGATGAGGCAGAGACTAAGACAGCAAAGAACAAAGGGGCAGTTTTTGCTAACTGACCATATCTGAAAGTAAAAGACAGCAGTTAACATTTTAAGATGTCATGTACACAGTACTATAATTGCATTACTTGATCACAGCATTATAAAGAAGAAATTAACCATTTTACATTGAGATGACCTCTCTGATTTTCAAGTCAATAACAGAAGATAAGCGCAGGAAATTGCAGGGTTCAGAAAAAGCCAAAATTTGAGACAGTTTAAAAAGTTGATACTCAAAAAAGAGGTATGAAAAGAAGAATCCAATTCAATGAGCAAATAGAGAGAGCCTACCATAGGGTGATCCACACTGCCACTAGAAGACAAGAACGCTGTCTCTTTCCCCCAAATGAAGAACTGTAGGATGGTTGATGTATTAAAAAAAAATCTCCCTTTACTTAACCAACAGATATAATACGTAGTACAGAACTACAGAGGCATTAAGTGAGCCGTTTAAGGATAAAATGTGCCTGAAACCAAGGACTACAAGCCAAGAAGCAGTAACGGCAGCTTGTGTCCTCAAACAAATTGGAACAAGATCACCACACCTGGTGTTGAATCCTCCAGGGCACAACGCCAAACACGGGATCTCGTCAGTGCTACTACCGGACCACAGGTTTATATCACCTTGACTTTCTATTTATTCGTATATTTCAATTAGTGACTGCATCCCGAGGCTTATGTGGCAATAAGCATTTGGGAACCATCAAGGCAATCCAAAACCACTGTAAGCATGTTGACAAGGAGGCCAAGTGGCTGGTCACCATCAACACTACACTCTAAGGACACCCCTAAACATAGAAACAAGGTTGCTGCCGGTATCTTGTGGCAGTCCTGAAGACATGGGCCTGGTTAGTCAAAAACCATCCATGCCAGAGGGAAACCGAGGCAACACGCAGAGGAGCAACAAGTACACAGGCGGGCAGGTGGCCGACGCGGGACCTCAGGGTCAGCACCGCCCGCTGATACCGCGGTGTAAACAACCCTGGGCAGGGTGGATGCCGGGACGACGCCTCACGCCGTGCAGACAGAGTGGGGCGGAGAAGCAGCGCCCAAGGTACGTAAGCCGCTTACAGGTGCCCAGCAAGCTCCGCAAGCGCGGCGCAGGCTTCGAGGGGGGGCGACCGGTGGGGGACCTCTGCCCCGCGCCCGCGTTCCCCGAAGCAAGGCGCTCAGCCCTGGCCCGGCCCCGCCCCAACGCTGAAGGAGGAAGACGGGAGACCCGCAGGAGGAAAAAGTATAGGAAGGGCCGTACCCTGCAGGGTCCGGGAGAGGTGCACGCCGTGGGGTTCACCAGCGACCCAGGCGGCACCGGGAGACGCGGGCGCGGGTGCGGCTCCCAGAGTCCCGCGCTCCGGCACGGCGACGGCGAGGCCGGCCCAGCGCGACCCGGAAGGAAGACGCAAAGACCGCGAGGAGGGGCGGGGCCGAGCCGGAGGGGAGGCGGGGCGCCGTTCCCGCTGGAATCTTACGAGGCGTCTGAACCGCCCCCTCCTAGGCCGAGGGGAGGAGATTCCTACAGACTTCCCAGCCCGAGTCGTGCCCTATAAATCGCCCAGTTACTACCCAGCAGGCAGGGGTTGAAATCCACTGCGGGAGTAATCCGTTCCTCGCACCAGCCTGCCATCTGTAGTGTAGTCCTGCTAGGGCTTTTGCAGTCCAGAGTTGGTGGGTCAGGTAATGCATAGGGATTATGGGTGGTAAGGTCTTCAGAGCTGAAATGGAAAATAAATTATAGGTGCTCTAGAGGCATAATTCACCAAGTTTGCAATCTCTTCTGCCCCACATACAAATCCGTCCTGCAAGCTCATTTCCCTCACATGTGGAACCCGTGACCATGATCTCTCAGGAACGAGATGGTCTCACGTCTCCCTTACTCAGTTACTTTTATTTATTTTCAGTAGATACAATATAAACTTTTTAAAGTTTGCATTATACTGATCTCGTTACAAGATTTCTACTGAGATGAAAAAAAACACTGACTAATGAAGAGATGAAAACATATTACTTGCTATCTATTTGCCCCTAAAGAGGCAAAATAATAGATAATATTTATTTATAAATTATATATATGAACTGAACTGATATATGATGTGCAATAAAAATTGCATGCAAAACTGGACATTTTTAAAAAGAATATTTGATGTGCAGTATAAATTGCATGCAAAACTGGACATTTTAAAAAGACTTGAAGCTTAATCCCCAATTTCCCTTGAGTGTGGGCAGCTTAGTGACTTGCTTCCAAAGAATATGGAAGGGAGGAAAAAGTAGCTTTATTGTGGAGAAACCTGGTAAACACTACCTTGGCCAGATGAAAGATAACACCATCAGTGACAAACCAAGTTAATAGCATGCACCCTGATATGGTGTGATGAGAAAGGCACTTCATCTTCATAATTTTCTTCCTCAAAACCCATAAACCCAGTCTGACCTTGAGGCAACATCAGAAAACCCTACAAAATACCTGAACAAACCATCTAGTTAATGGAAAAAATATAACAAAACAAACAAAGAAAAACTGAGAAATTGTCACAGACCCAATGGGGACTTGGGTGATAGGATCACTAAATGTAACATGGTATTTTGAATGGGATCCGAGAACGTGAAATGGATGTTAGTGGGAAAACTAGTGAAATTGGAATGGAATTTAGTGAACAGTAATGTACTAATGTTGGTTTCTTAGTTGTACCAAGTGTAATTATAATATACGATGCTAACAAATAAGGGGCAAGTGGATGAGTGGTATGTAGTGAACAGTGATGTACTAATGTACTAATGTCGGTTTCTTAGTGGTAGCAAGTGTACTATTATAATATATGATGCTAACAAATAAGGGGCAAATGGATGAGTGGTATGTAGAACTTTCTTTACCACCATTGCGACTTTTCTGCAAATCTCAAGTCTATTCTAAAATCAAAAGTGAACTACAAATAAATGAATTTATTAATGAGTAAATAAAACCTGCGCTTTTATGATTGCCAGTGCGACTTAATTGAGTTGATGCCTTTAGGGCACTCAGACCCAGTCCAACTAAAAAAAGTTTCTCCTTTCTAATTTTTGAAATAAATAAATAATTTTGAAAAAAAATTTAATTAAGGTATAAAATATATTCAGAAAAGGACACACCCACGTATTCACCGCTCAGATCAAAAAATAAATAATTACCAGCACTCAGAACCCCCCCCACTTGTTTTCTTAAAACTCTATCCTTCACTCCTCCCCAAAGGTAACCATTTTCCTGACTTCTAATACCAGAGTGGTTCTTGCCTTTTTTTTTTTTTTCCTTGCCTTTATGTAGTTGGATTCATACGTTACCGTCTGGCTCCTTTCTCTCAACATTAGGTCTGTGAGAGCTATTCATGTTGTTGAGTGTAGTGGTAGTTTCTTGAGTTTCTATTGTATAAATATACCATAACTTATTTATTCTACTCCTGATAGACATTGAGCTGTTTTTTTGTTTTGATTATTACAAACAATGCTGTTATGAACATTCTTATTCATATCTTTTGTTACATATCTTTAGCATGCCTCCCCATACATTTTCACCTCCTTGGTGTAGAAGAGATATAGTGGTTGGTGCTATTATTTGTTTTATTGAGTGTTTTGGTTTAGTTTTGTTTTTAAAGGCACTTAAAGTTCTGCTTAGAAAGTATATAAGCTCATATTTAAGGAAAGGGAAAGACTAGGGCAAAGTTTCATTTCTGTGACTAGGCAGAATTTTGGTCATCATTGCTCAATCTACCCTCCCTCCAACCTTCTCGTCTCAAGCGCCATGACATTGCCATGCTTCATTTACTGAGCAGAAGAGCCAAGTGGGGCCAAGGAACAGGGCGATACTTATCAGTTAGTGATGGCACCGATTTAATGGGTGAACTAATGCCTAGTTATTAAATGGAATGTTGTTTGGAGCTGAATAGCATCCCACGCCGTAACAGCACTATTACAAATAAAGAAAGTCCCAACAAAGCTTAATTGTGCATAAAGAACTAGCTCAGCAAGCTGGTTATGATCCATTCTGTGTTCGCTTCAAAAGTTACAATGTTCTACTCAGATGGGGAGGCAGGCAAAGAAGCAGCAGGGTCAAAACTCTTCTTTGTCTCTAACTCTTAAAACACTCACCATCATACACTCCACTGTTTTCAAGTGATTTGTCTTTATCTTAAAATGAAATGTGTACCAATTATAAACTTTCACGGGGAGGAGTATGCATGACAAGAAGACACTACATCAGAGGCAGAAATGGTGTATATTCACACCGCAGAGAAGACCAAAAATGTCTTCACCATGAGCTCCCTTAGGTTTTCTATCATTGGTTACCCAGTAAAGTCTTCTGTCAAGTCAAGATCTCTCAGAAAATGCAACTCTATACATTTTCCACTAACTCAGCCAAAATAATTTGCCTCTTTGTGAAATCTTAAGTCAACTAGTTAGTTGAAAAGTGGTTTTCCATCAATAATATCAGTCCAAGGTTTTTAATATGCCAGTGGCCAAAGAGCATGAATAATAGCCAATAGGAGTGATCTTTTGGTGTACTTTTTTTAACCTCTTAGATTCTGTGACAAGTTTTATTTTAATATTAATCTACCACAATATTCATCTAGAAACAGTCACAGCCCTATGAAAAAAAAACTAAGAATTTTAAGCAAGAAGTCCACCCAAAAGTCATGTAGTCCAAACCCCTGTATTACTGATGAGGAAGCTAAGGCTCAGAGAGATTGACTTCTCCAAATCATACTGTAAGACTCTCAATGACACCTGGTTCTCTGACTTTACATCCAGAGGGTTCTTTTTTAACAATGCCACATTACCTTATGATTTAACAGAAACTTAACTAGTCCTATTACCATAACCTTGAAGTACCCTGAATACAGTAGAAGAAAACCGAACTTGGGAGTAGGAAGACCTGTCTATCCAGCTCTGCTATGTAAGTAACTCTGTGATCTTGGATAAGTTACAACTTCTCTGAGCTTGTTCTCACTTCTATGAAATGTGCCTAACTCACAGGCACTAGAGGGATTTAAAAGAGATCATATATGTGAAAGCACTTTGTGAGCTATAAAGTAGTATGCAAATGTATGAATATTATTAATATTTATTAAAACACGTGAAAGATAAGAAATTGAATCTTTCCAGCACAAAATGTCAGACTAGAACTTTCACATTCATTCTAGTCTAATCCTTTCACTTGTCACCAGAGGAGAGAAAAGCCTAGAAAGACTGGGTAATTTGTCCAAGACTTATGGCAAGTTGCTGGCAAACCAGGACTTGAATTAGGTCTCCCAACTTGCAGTTTCAATGAACTTCTAATATGTTTGATAAGTGAACACTAACTACAAATCAGCAAGATGATTTAAAATAATCTGATAAAATTTCAGACTGAATCTACACAGGCCTAGAAGGGATATCTTGAAATACTTTTTTAAAGTATTTTTAAAAAATAAAAACTTCTCGGGCGCCTGGGTGGCTCAGTTGGTTAAGCGACTGCCTT